GGACTTTATGTCAAGCGCAGGTTATGCAGATCACACATGCACACGCGTGCACAAAGAAAAAGGGCAAGCCCGTGCTCTGATCCGACACAAAGGAGCTCTACCGGCTTTGAGATGTCCGGAGGTGCGCGAGCGAAACCGGGAAGAGGATCCGTCGACCGGGCCTGCAGTAGCCTACCTTCATGCTCTTGATGGCCTCATATCCGTCCCGCACCGAGCGGATCTCGTCGTACACGGTCTCATGCGGCAGCAGCAGCTGGTTGAGGATCTGCAGAGAACCGGGCCGGTACCGGATCGCCTCCAGCGTCATGACCCGTATGAGATGCGGCTGAACGTATTCCGGGAGCGCTGGCGCCGATGTGTGACGGGTTCCGTCGGTCCGCTTCGCGTTAAAAGCGCTGCGATTCGTGAATCATGAATCGCGAATCACAAGGTGTGGGCGTCTGCACGGATCGAGGGGGGAAAAGCGCACCGATCACGGAACCGCGTGTTCGCTCTGTCAGGAAGCCCCGCCCCCTTGACCACGCCTACTCCCGTCAGTCATCCCGCGGAGGCGCGCCACAACATTAGAGGCGCGTGAGACATTCAGATGAAGCCTTTTATTATTCTTATAACTACAGCGAAGCAACAATAAAGCGATTCAGACTATTCTTAGCGAGTGAATGGAGGGATCCAATGAAGAGCAGATGTTTGAGACTCGGAATGAGGACACGTAAGATCATGTTTCTATGGAGGAATCGATAAAAACGCACACGCAGGCGCTATTGTTCATTTTTTAATAAGCCACGACGTCATCAGGGACTTTAATTCTAAGGAATGGTTCTTACCAAAATGAGAATTCTGCCATTTACTCATCTTAATAATCGCAAACGGTCTAATGTTCTTAAAAACACACACACACACACACACACACACACAAAATGATGATGAGAAAAACACTCTAAGCCGTTCACACCAAGGACGATAATAACGTGTGATATTTTAATGTCATGACGTCTTTCACCTCAGAGGGATTTTAATTTAAAAAGGTATGGTTTCTTCCACAAATGAAAATTCTGTCGTAATCACCTTCGAACCACTGATCTAATAATAGAGAACATTATATATAGATCAGTGCTTGGAACGATCTTTCTCCAGTGTAACACAAAAGAGTTTTTAAAAGTATAGCCTACACATTATCCCACCGGTCACAATATTGACCAACCATAAAACGCACACTTTCCCCAAAAAATAATTATTGATTATTTCAAGGGGTTACTAATGACACATCATTTTGATACTTTCATGCCCGAGAAAAATGTGGGATTAAATGGGTTAAGACGCAAGCGTGCATTATTTAAAACAACAACACAAAGCAGCGCAGGGACTTTATGTCAAGCGCAGGTTATGCAGATCACACATGCACACGCGTGCACAAAGAAAAAGGGCAAGCCCGTGCTCTGATCCGACACAAAGGAGCTCTACCGGCTTTGAGATGTCCGGAGGTGCGCGAGCGAAACCGGGAAGAGGATCCGTCGACCGGGCCTGCAGTAGCCTACCTTCATGCTCTTGATGGCCTCATATCCGTCCCGCACCGAGCGGATCTCGTCGTACACGGTCTCATGCGGCAGCAGCAGCTGGTTGAGGATCTGCAGAGAACCGGGCCGGTACCGGATCGCCTCCAGCGTCATGACCCGTATGAGATGCGGCTGAACGTATTCCGGGAGCGCTGGCGCCGATGTGTGACGGGTTCCGTCGGTCCGCTTCGCGTTAAAAGCGCTGCGATTCGTGAATCATGAATCGCGAATCACAAGGTGTGGGCGTCTGCACGGATCGAGGGGGAAAGCGCACCGATCACGGAACCGCGTGTTCGCTCTGTCAGGAAGCCCCGCCCCCTGACCACGCCTACTCCTGTCAGTCATCCCGCGGAGGCGCGCCACAACATTAGAGGCGCGTGAGACATTCAGATGAAGCCTTTTATTATTCTTATAACTACAGCGAAGCAACAATAAAGCGATTCAGACTATTCTTAGCGAGTGAATGGAGGGATCCAATGAAGAGCAGATGTTTGAGACTCGGAATGAGGACACGTAAGATCATGTTTCTATGGAGGAATCGATAAAAACGCACACGCAGGCGCTATTGTTCATTTTTTAATAAGCCACGACGTCATCAGGGACTTTAATTCTAAGGAATGGTTCTTACCAAAATGAGAATTCTGCCATTTACTCATCTTAATAATCGCAAACGGTCTAATGTTCTTAAAAACACACACACACACACACACACACACACAAAATGATGATGAGAAAAACACTCTAAGCCGTTCACACCAAGGACGATAATAACGTGTGATATTTTAATGTCATGACGTCTTTCACCTCAGAGGGATTTTAATTTAAAAAGGTATGGTTTCTTCCACAAATGAAAATTCTGTCGTAATCACCTTCGAACCACTGATCTAATATAGAGAACATTATATATAGATCAGTGCTTGGAACGATCTTTCTCCAGTGTAACACAAAAGAGTTTTTAAAACTTTAAAGGGGTCATATGATGTTGCTAAAAAGAACATTATTTTGTGTATTTGGTGAAATGAAATGTGTTTATGTGGTTTAAGGTTAAAAAAACATTTTCCACATACTGTACATTATTGTTTCTCCTCTATGCCCCGCCTTTCTGAAACGCGTCGATTTTTACAAAGCTCATCGGTCTGAAAAGCGAGGTGTGCTCTGATTGGCCAGCTATCCAGTGCGTTGTGATTGGCTGAATTCCTCAAGCGTGTGACGGAAATATTACGGCCCTCACCATACTGTTGATGCCGTGTCCCGGCCGGAGCAACGAGACAAAAACATTAAAACACATTATAAACGAGGCATTTGTTGCATACAGTGGGGACATAATTACGGATTATAATGACTTATACTGTCTTTTAACACGTTGAGTTGCGTATCATGCTGTGTAAACATAAAACCATGTCTGCATTTATGATCAGAGAAATGACAAACAACAAGCGCTACTCTACACTGCTCAAAACTCGCGTTTGAATCATCAGTGGCAAATTCTTTAAATATAAAAAACGTACTTACAGTCTGTGAGTCAGAACAGCCGGCACTGTAGTCTCCTCTCCCAGGATTAGGAAACAGTCTTCCTTAAAATGTGCTGCACACATCTGAATATTTGGGTTAAACTGTTCTGGAACAGTGTTGTAAATACAACTTAAAGGGGTCATATGATGCTGCTAAAAAGAACATTATTTTGTGTATTTGGTGTAATGAAATGTGTTTATGCGGTTTAAAGTTAAAAAAACACATTATTTTCCACATACTGTACATTATTGTTTCTCCTCTATGCCCCGCCTTTCTGAAACGCGTCGATTTTTACAAAGCTCATCGGTCTGAAAAGCGAGGCGTGCTGTGATTGGCCAGCTATCCAGTGCGTTATGATTGGCCGAATACCTCAAGCGTGAGACAGAAATGTTACACCCCTCACCATACTGTTGATGCC